AACTTTAAGATAAAATAAAATTTTAAACTAGTTTTCTAAATCTATTCGCTAACTTTGAAAATTAAAAACTTACTCCATGTTGTTCGAAAAATTATAAAACCCTCTAGATATCAACTAATATATCCTAAGTTTCAGACCCAAATGGTTTCACTTGATTTACTTATCAAAATAATTATCTACAATTAATTATATTTAAGCAGGTTGTTTTCCGCAGCACTTTAAAGAAATTAATGGTTCTCTTAGTATACATGAGCAATCAACGCAAGGCCAAAAACGTACGAAACTAGACTCATAACCGGTTCTAATGACACTGATTTGATAATTTTCAGATTTATACCCAAAGAGAACAACACTCCCGAACTTACTATTTAAAACCAGTTTTCTGGACAGATTTGAACGCATCAGTTTATATGGATTTTGACTTCCAAAAATTATGAAAAAATTCAGATATGCAATTCAATATGTAATTATTCTATTGTAAAAATTTCAGTTCAAAATTCATTCGTTTGATATGATTTCTTGATTTTTAAAGTTTGTGATTCTGTACAGAATTTTTAGACTAAGAATTACACCCATTCTTTATACATGAATTTAACTCCTCAAATTTCTTAACAATGTATATATATATAGACACAAAATACATACACCTACAACCTCTCCATCAATGAATTAAATAACAATAGAATAAGGATAAAGAACAAAGAAAGAAAAGAAGAAAACCTAAGAGACCATACAGCACAACACACACAAAGATCTCATTATTGGCTACAAGAATAATCTTGATGATTGAATCACCCCTCACCTTCCTTTATAAACCCACGGCTGGCTGCTAGGGCTGCTAGTGTTGTGAACAAATAAGGGGGTAGGGTTTGTGTTTATTTTATTTTATTTTATATTAGTGGTACACATAGGTCAAATAAATAGATAAATATACAAAACATATATATAAATAGATATTAAAGCCCCTAAGGCATTAGACCGTCAAAGGACCAATAGTTATTAAAGTCTCCCAAGGTATGGAAATGTCATAGGGTCAATGGTCATGTACAAATAATTGTTCAAAAACACATTTATAAAATAATTATATCCATGGATTTCATTTTTAAACAAATAGGGTTCATTTAACAAATAATATATTTTAAAAACTAATATAATTTGCAAAATAAATTTTACATAAAACAATTTATAATAACTCAAAATATAAAAAAACTCACCTTAAAATTGGCTTTGTTTGGTTTGTATCTTAAGATACAATTTTTGAGAATTTTTTTTAAAATTTTGTTTAGTTCAAATTTTTTAATTTTTAAAAAAAAAAAATTTCAAAATCAATTTCTCCCTCCTATATATCAATCAATTACTTTTTCTCTCATACACATTCACGCAACTACAACAAAATATCATATCATCCTAAACTCTCAAATTCCAAAACTATTGTCAAAATATACAACTAAACAAACCAAATTTTTTTTTAAACTTTCTCCTTAATTTTTATTTTAAAAATTTATCTTAAAACACAAACTAAACACACCCAACTCCTTCATTTCTCTCGCTGCTTGCTTGTTTGTTTTGTTTTCATTCTTTCGAAATCTAACTCCTATTTATAGGAGATCAAATGCACCACATGGCATACCACATGGCACTTCGTTGTCTTTCAATTCATGATTTGCAAAACTTTTTCCTTTTTAAAAATTCTTTAAAATTACATCTTTTATAAAATACAATGACCCCTAATTTAAAATTAAATTCTATTATAGCGCATACACTCATACAAGTAAATATGATTTTCCAGGTATCAATTTAACTAATTTAACTTAAGGTATTTCAAAATAAATTACCGTATAATTTCATAAAAAAGTATTATTCAAAATATTACCCATCACACCATTTGAGTTTGGAATTTTTTATAAAAATTTATAAATTTTACCTGTCATATTATTGTAATAAGTTCAATTATAAGCACTTATATAGTGTACATATATATATAAGGGATAGATTATAAATATATCTATTGAGATTTGCTTAAAATATGTATTATTTCTCTTAGTTCTATAAATTACATCTCGCCTCTTGAAATTTTTAATTTCATAATAAATAGTATATTTTGTTAATAAATTATAAAATCAATTAATGATGTCAAAAATTTATTTTAATTAATAATTGAATTAATTTATTATTATATAGAAGAGTAATTAGAAAATTTATTTTTTTAGTTAATTCTGTTAAATAAAAAATTCTAACAATAAAATGTTTGTAATTTTTCAAACCACAAGAGGCAGTCCATATTTTAAGTACACAGGAGGTGTAATTATGATGTATCCTTGTAAAAATTTAGGATAAATTATAAATATATTTCTTGATATTGGCTTAAAATACTAATTTTTCCTTGTGGTTTTGCTAATTACGCCTTGCTCCCTCACATTTCTAATCACATAACAATTAATCCCTTTCATTAATTAACTATTAAGTCAATTAATAGTTTTAATGAATTCAATAATATATTTTAATTAATAGTTTTGGTAATTTCATAATTTTATGTAAGATAATTAAAAAAAATTCTCTGTTTGGTTTAGTTTTTGAAATGAGTTTTGAATTATATTTTGAAAGATGAGTTGTTAAAAGTTAAAAATTTGTTTAGTTATGAGTTTTAAATTTTTTTTTGTGCATAATTTGTAATTTTTTTTTTAAGTTGAATAGATGGATGTGTAAAAAAAATTAATTGATTGATATGTAGAACGTGACAGAGCGAGAGATCTTTATTCATAAGTGGGTGGTTTAGCAAATAAATTTTAAAAGAATTAGAAAACTATATTAATATGTGTTCAATTGAATGGAAGTGATTTTAATTTCAGTTGAATTCAAAATTTATCATGCGGATAGAAGAGTAGAGAATTGTTTGGTTGTAAGTTTTGAAAAGAGTTATGAAATTGAATTTTGAAATTTTTTATTTGATTATAAGTTTTAAAAAAAATTAAATTTTTTTTTTTTTATTCAAATCATGATTCTAATTTTTAACCAAACGTCACAAGGTGCTATAGGAGAAAAAATAAAAAATATATAATTAATAAGATTGTAAGAGCATATCAAGTAAAATATAAAATAGATCTATAAGATATTTTCTCCTTCTTCACAAAAAAATAAATAAATAGTAAATTAAATTAATTTTCAAATGTACTATATTTATGTTCACCGAATGCTAAAAATTGCTCCAACTTATTTCATCTAAGAATGAAGCATAAAAAACAATCAGAACAATAAATTGGATCAGATTTGATTTTGATCAATAATTCGATTACATATCAAATTTATTAGATTCAGGTATATTGGATGATTAGATTGTATTTCAAAATTTTCAGATCAAATCCAGATTAAATTTGAATTGTTAATTGAATCAAATAAAAAAAAAATTGAATTGTTAATAAGTCGAATCCATAATATCAACCGATGTAATGTAATATAAAGAGAACTTCTATATCAAATAATATTTTTCTTCAAAAATTAAAAAAAAATAATTTTAAAGAAAATTTTTTTTTATTTTTTTGAAAGAAAAAAATAGAATTTTAAAAAGAGTTGGATTATGAATTTTCAAAAGAATTATGGAATTGAGTTTTGAAAATTTTGTTTGATTATGAATTTTAAAAGGAATTTTATAAATTTTTTATTCAGATCATGATTCTAATTTTTAACCAAACGTCACAAGGTGCTATAGGAGAAAAAATAAAAAATATATAATTAATAAGATTGTAAGAGCATATCAAGTAAAATATAAAATAGATCTATAAGATATTTTCTCCTTCTTCACAAAAAAATAAATAAATAGTAAATTAAATTAATTTTCAAATGTTATATTTATGTTCACCGAATGCTAAAAATTGCTCCAACTTATTTCATTTAAGAATGAAGCATAAAAAACAATCAGAACAATAAATTCGACAAGAAATTCGTCTTTTGCATAACACTTATTGGCTTTTTAGCAACGGCCGTTGCCACCAGAGATGAAAGTGTTGAAGGTCACCCCATGTGAAAGGGGTGATCCTCATGTCAACAAAGGAAGACAACCAACCAAGTCAAGCTTGGTGGCCACTAACCATAGCAAAGGTCAAGAATGGAGGCTACCCAAGTCAAGAATGAAGGCTCTCCCACCTACTCCTTTGTGTATAAATAGAGACGGGAGGGAGAGGATGAGAGACAGATCAGAAATTAGAGAGTGAGAGCTGTGAGTTGAGTGAGTTTCATCTCCTCCTCTGTATTTTGTATTTTGCTCCATTTTAGTGAAAACTTCTCATTTCTGTCCGTGGATGTAGGCATTGGGCCGAACCACGTAAATATTGTGTTTCCTGTGTGTGTGAGATATATTTCTGGGTGTGTTTGATCCTAACAAGTGGTATCAGAGCCGGTGTTGTGCGTTTTGCGGAAAAACAGGGTGTTGTTCCGAAACTGCCCAGAAATCGTATTGCTCGAAATCAGATTTTGAGCATACCAGGAGCAAGGGCTCGACGAGAGGAGTCCAGAAACATAAAACAGACACCCAACAGAGGCCAGACGCGCTCTCACGCGCCCCTAGAAGTTGGCGCGTGAATCCCAGTCGCGTCAAGCGCCGCACGCGCTTTCAGAGGTAGAAGACGCGTGAGTTCACGCGCCTCACGCGCTTTCAGAGGTAGACGACGCGTGATCTCACGCGCGACACGCGCCGCACGCGCGCGCACCAAGCCGCTCGAGCAGGAGCCGCGTTGACCGAGCCGGAGCCGCTGACCAAGCCGCTGACTGAGCCGATGACATCAGCCTGACGTCAGCAGAACCGGAGGAGTAATCTGGTGCTTCGCAGGCGCACCAGATTCTGCCGATCTGAACCATTCAATCTGTTTTGGCTTGATCTAAGCCATTTGAGATCCGATTTGGGTGATCCAATAGTGGTTTCCACTAAACATTATCCATTAAAAAAAAAAAAAAACCATATTAATAGTCTTTGCTCCCAACAAAACATTTTACTAGTATACCTTAAATTACTATAATAATCAAGGTGGACTATATATATATATATATGATGAGAAAGAACATAGCTTTCACACAACATTAACACTACAAACAAAACCATAAAACCACATACAACATATACACATATAGTTAACAAACCTTAAGACACACTAGAAACACCAGATTAAGGTATTCCTATGATGGGAACAAAGGGAATATAGTAGCTAGAAGGAGCTAGTCCCCACGCCGGCGGCAGAGGTATGTCAACGGTCTTCGATTCACCAATTGCCGCAGCATTCTTGGAGGAGGAAGAAGGGTTTGATGTGAAGAACTTGAGAGGTTTGGAGATGGTGTAGGAATCATCAGAGTTGGGGAGTTTGAGAGTCCTTGAAACGATGTTTTTCTTTGAGGTGTAGAGTTGTTTTGGACCACCTAGGATGTTGGCTAGGCAGTTGAAGGAAGAAGGGGGCGTGGCGTCGGAGGGAAGCTCGGTCTCGAAGGTTCCATCTGCTGATGTGGTTGCCACGGCTAGCTTCCTCACTTGACTGCACTTCACTAGGACTTTAATGTCTGTGGAAGAAGACGTGAAGAAGATGGTGAAGATAGTTAACTTTCCCATTTACCCAAGTCAACTGCTAGGCAAGGCATGTTAGCTCACACAGTAATGTTATGGAGTCCAAAAAGTCGTTCGGAAATTTGTCAAAAATTAAGTGTATATATCAGAATCATTTTGGGTTATATTATATTTGAATTCACATTATACATTTCATTTTTTGATGAGTGTCATAAGAAGACTTTTAACAAAATATTAAATAATTGTATATTCCTTAACTATCCACTTTTGTGAAGAAATATCCAAGTATTTTAAACATATTATTATTAACCAATGTCCCATTTACAAAGTCACTTCTTCATAGTTCACTAAAGGCATTTATTTTTAGTGATTTTTTTTAGATTCACTTAAATAAGACGAACTTAAAATGTAATGTGCAAAAATATGACTTTTTTTAATTGCATGTTACCTTTAAAAAGATAGATAAAAATTTTAAAGCACAGAAGATTTTGTGAGCTGTAAAAGTTATAGTTATTAGTTAATGACCATAAGATAGTAAGTGACAAGAAGTAGGACAAACTAACTCTAAAAAGGCAACTAAAAATTTTAAGAATTAGTTAAGGACCATAAGATAGTAAGTGAGAAGAATTAGGACAAACCAGAAAGATCATGGTGGTTATGGCAGTCAAGGCAAGTAACAGAGCCTTTCAAGACATGGCATGTTGAGAACTCAACCCTAGCAAGAACCAACAAAGCAAAGAGAAGTGCAGTGATGATAACCTTATGATGAATAGCCATGGAAGCAGAGAGAGATAAGTGAAAGAAAAATGAGCTTGAGAAGAAAAGATGGCAAAGCAACACATATAAATATTGCAAGTGATAACATGAACCATAGTTAATGAATGGGACCCAAGCCACAGTCTGGTAGTTGGGGTGTTAAATTGAAGAAGAGGTGCAGGGAACAACATTTTATTGTCCTAATATATTACTCTTTTCTTATCCAAAAAGTTTATTTAGAAAAATGTTTTGAATTTGATATGTACGAACAATATCAATACATTGTAGATTTCACATTTAGGTAGTTTTCAAGGGTAACTTTATGCTGTAAGTATCATTTCTGTAAATTAGCACATGACAATAGTTAAACTGGTAAGGATTAAAAATTCATGGTATCTAATCAGAATTAGTGAGATATAAAAATGGAAATGAACAAATACACAAGAAATGTAAATCACATTCACGTAAGAAAAAACATGAGATTTATGTGATTTACCTCAAAATTAGGACTATGTCCATGTTTGCTATGGTTCCACTATGATTAGAAATGTTAAATAAGAGATACAAAAATAAAAATTCGTTAACTACAAATGCATATAAATTAGGGCAATAGATTACAAATGCAGAAATACTAAAATTACCTTTACTCTAAATAACAAGGCCTAAGGGCACTAGTTAGATTTACAATTCAATAATATCTACTGCTTATCAAGATTCATACTATTAGAATAATAAGTTTGTCTAAATCTTTCATGTCCCCCTTCTTAAGGCCATAATTATTACACAATTACATTTAAACGTTTAATATATGATAGAAAAGTGAACTAAAACACGAGATTGAGAAAATAATTTATGATTTGAATAATTGATCCAACTTGGCTTAACTTGTACAGATTTTAAGTAAATTGAAACCACCTCGCAACACTAGTTGTAAATATTGTTGAAGGTCACCCCATGTGAAAGGGGTGATCCTCATGTCAACAAAGGAAGACAACCAACCAAGTCAAGCTTGGTGGCCACCAACCATGTCAAAAGTCAAGAATGAAGGCTCTCCCACCTACTCCTTTGTGTATAAATAGAGACGGGAGGGAGAGGATGAGATACAGATCAGAAATTAGAGAGTGAGAGCTGTGAGTTGAGTGAGTTTCATCTCCTCCTCTGTATTTTGTATTTTTCTCCATTTTAGTGAAAACTTCTCATTTCTGTCCGTGGATGTAGGCATTGGGCCGAACCACGTAAATATTGTGTTTCCTGTGTGTGTGAGATATATTTCTGGGTGTGTTTGATCCTAACAGAAAGTTCATCCAGAAGGGCTCGGCGGTGCTTCGGGTTCTTTGCGAGGCGGAGCATAGAATGACCTTGTAGCTTCAACTGTTTGAGTGGCAATGAAAATGAAGAACATTAGTAGAACCATCAACCGAACAATGTTCAAGAAAGCTTTCCAGAACAAGTACTCCATTTGCTCAATTTGAAGATAAACGATGAAGGTGAAAAGCTTTTGTTTTTTGGCAAGTAAATGGTAGAGAAATGCTACGGACCTTACCATGTTCTCCTCGGAAAAATTCATGTGGTATGTTATACGAGACCTTCAACCAATCATAAATATCCGTCTTTTATGTTGTCTTTTTCATCATTTAATATATAAATGTAGTTTCTACTCTCTCAACCAATAAAAGAAGATAAAGGTATCACATGGCACTTAGGCTTAGTTTAAGATGTTTGAAAAAAGACAAAAAGCTAAAGAGTTACAAAAAAAAAAATTTAAAAAGTTATCACTATTTATCAAAAAAATATTAAAAAGTTAATTTAACACATAATAACATTTTAGACAACTCTGCGGTACAATCAGGCGGAGGTGACTTTTTGAAAAAATTGCACGGTTTTAGGTGTACAAATAACACGGTGAAGTACAGCCCGTAGGGGTCCATCACGGGTCCCATTTTAATAATCTAAATCGTAAAATGTGTAGAACTCGTCGATTACTACGTGTCTGTGAAAAATCACGTTGATCGGATATTGATAAGTATATGATCAAATCAGTTAAAATTTATAAAATGGATGGTGGTATAGCTAACAATTGAAAAAAAAAACTAATTCGATCAGATAGCTATCGATATCCGATCAATGTGATTTTTTACAAGCATATAGTACTCAACGAGTTTTACACATTACGATTTTGATTAGCAAAACGGGACCCGTAGTGGCTCCCATAGGCCGAACAACACCTCCAATTCAATGCCTGAAACGCAAAGAATCATATCCCAGGCACACTCTACACACGCTGTCGTGAATTATCCAACCGTACTACCTATTTCTTCCCAATTTTCTCCTATACACTAATTTATATAATGTTTTAATACACATTTTTTCATAAAAAGTCAAAAAATTATCCCAAACAACCATCTTTTTTCCCTCAACTTTTTAGTCCAAAAAGTCACAAAGTACACTTATTTAGGACACCCCAAACAACCCCTTACTCTATCTGTACTCCAAAATTTTTCCTTTCTTTGAATTGAGTGATTTGGAAAGAAAAGAAAAGAAAAGAAAAGAAATAGAGACATATATTTTCTCTTACTTGTTTAGATAACTTAAGTGGAGAGAAATGAAAAGAAATTGAGAGAAACAGAGAGAAACCCATTTCTCTTATAACTTTCATTTTTAATCTTCTCAAAAGTAGAGAGATTAGGAGAGAAAAGAAACTAACAAATTCTTATATTTTCATAATATCAATTTTGTACCCGTAAAAATAAAATAAATAAAATGATTGGCACCCAAAAAGTTTATTATGGTAATATAACACAAAATCATTTCTTTTCCTTTCTCTTATGAAATCTAACCAAAGAAGAATGAGAGAAATCACAATCATTTATTTTCGTTTATAACTTAAATAATTATTTCTTTACTTCTCTCTCCTAAGTTCCCAAACATAGTCTTAGGCTTCGTTTGGGAATATGTTTTTTTAGTAATTTTTTGACTTTTTAGCTAAAATGTGATGTAAAAAAAATTAGTATGTTTGGAATGACTTTTTGAATTTTTATAAAAGATGTGTAAAAAGTAGAGAGAAAAAAGAATTTTTGAATTTTTTGTATGAATTATTGATTTTTTATTTTTTTAATGACTTTTTGACTTTTTAATTAAAACAGTTACTTACCAAACAAGACCTTAGTGAATGATCGAAGAAACGACCGAATAGTACCACCTAAGCAGCTGGATCCCACTTGTAAGTGGACTTATTGTCTCTCACCTCACAAACCGATAGGAATAAGAATGGGAATGAGAATAAGGGGTGGTTTGGGATGATCTAAATAAGTATACTTTTTGACTTTTTGTGAAATATGGGTTGAGTATGGGTTGGGTTTGAAGTGATGTGATAGAGAGGTGATGTGACTTAAATAAGATGATAAGACTTAAATAGGATAGTGACTTTTTGACTTTTTAACTTTTTTAGAGTACCCAAAACAAGGCCTAAGAATCAGGAAAATGTTGCCATTACATGGTGTTTACTCTTTTAAAATATAATTTTTTGCCTACAACATTTATTTATTTATTTATTTATTTGCATTAAAATGAAACAATTTTTTTTTAGTATTTATAAATTTCTAATCTACTCTCATTTAGGTTTATTTTGGTAACATGAATTTTTCTTTTTTAGTGTGCATGTTTAAATTTCTAATATACTCTCATTTAGGTTTATTTTGATAACATAAAATTTTAGTTAAAAATTTAAAAAAATATTACAAAAATTCTCTATATATTTTTTACACATTTTTTTATAAAAAATTAAAAGACACTAAAAAGTTAACTCTTAAAACAACTCTTGATTTGAGAATAGGCTATTTTAGTAAATTTATAACTTTTTAATTAAAATATGAGGTGAAAAAATATTAATATATTTAGAATATTTTTTTTCTTGTTACAAAAAAAAATGTACAAAAAATAGAGAAAAGGAAAATTTTTACTTTTTTACATATTTATTTGATTTTTTTTAGATGTTTAAGTAACTTTTTTGGCTTTCCAAACATGGCAAACTAAAAAATATGACCACTATATCTATATCATCCTTCCCTCATTGATAGAGGTGCACATTTACTCTAATAAATAAATAATAAAATTTTATTTATAAAAAATTGAGAAATAAGATTAAGTTGGAATTAAATATTTTTATGACTAATTTCATACAATACATATTAATTCATGAATTTTTTATTTATTTTTTTATTTTTTTATTTTTTTGAAAACATGAGAAATTTAACTTGTAAAAGAAAATTAGGGAAATTATATCCATGTTGTACGTAATTTGTTTCTTGGATCAATATGATCTTTGTAACTCTAATTGATAATTTAATCCAATTAATGATATCTTTTTTCAAATTAGACGGATATCAAAAGGTGAAGTAAATAATTTATTAATAACGATTCACATATGCGATGCATGTATAATTTAACTACGTTACTATATTTGGTGTGTCACTCAAATGGTAAAAGTCTTCTTTAATAGGTCTAACGTTTAGTTTCACTCTCAATTCGTTATTTTAATAATCGACTTTTATTTATTTTTTAATTTTTACAAAAACACATACAAAAAAACAAAGAGAAAAGTTAATTTTTTTGTATTGATTTTTTAATTTTTTTTCATTAATAAATGTACACCATTTAATACTTTAAAAAAATGTTTCATTTTTAACGCAAAAAAAAAAAAAAAAAAAAAGTGTTAGGCAAATGATTATGTATTAAAAGTGTAAACACCAGCATTTATTTCCTTTGCTTTACCAATGTATCAGGTGAGAGAGAACCACCTCCTACAAGTGGTATCCAATTGCTTAGGTAGCATTATTCGATTGTTTCTTCAGTCATTCATTAGGGGTCTATAGCATTTCTCAAAAAAAAAAATATGTTAGGCAAATGATTATGTATTAAAAGTGTATACACTAGCATTTATTTCCTTTGCTTTACCGATGTATTAGGTGAGAGAGAACCACCCCCTACAAGTGGGACCCAGTTGCTTAGGTGGCATCATTCGGTTGTTTCTTCGGTCATTTATTAGAGGTCTGTAGCATTTCTC